AAGAAAGGCAAGGTGGGCATTGTGTACAGTGGGTTGAGCCATCATCTAGAACATCCAGATCCCAAATCAGAGTGTCTGGTTCAAGTCCCAGCTACCCTATGCTTCTGATCGGTATTCCTTGGAGGCAGCAGGTGACATCCAAGTACTTGGGTCCCTGTCACCAACACGAGAGACCCCAGTAAAGTTCCTGACTTCAGCCTGGCCCAGCCCTGGCTGTTGTGGGCATCTGGGGAGTGAACCAGCAGATAGAAGACCTCTTTTTCTCCCTCTCCTTCTGTCACTCTCTCAAATAAGTGAATCAGAGAGAAAGAGAAAGAGGAGAGGGAGGGGTGAGAGAAGGAAGGGAGGGAGGGAGGGAGGGAGGCAGAGAGGGAGGAAGGAAGGAAGGGAGGAAGAGGAAAGAAGGAAAGAGAAGAAAAATAAGAAAGGTAAGAAAGAAAACGGAGTGAAGAAGGAGGGGAAATAAAGGCAGGCAGGAAGAAGAAAGTAGAGAGAGGAAGCCCGGCTCACAAAACAGAAGGTCTACAGTGTTGACGTGATCTACACAGGTAGATCTAGGGGTTTATTTCTTATCCTTGAAGCTGATTAGCATCTCCATTCCGTGGCTCTGTTTATATACACTTCCCTCTCAGAATCTCCCTGCACAAGGCAGTGAAAGGGCTGGTGTTACTTCAAGATCACGTCATTCCTATTGCTTGTGACCTTGGAAGAAGAGAACGTTCCTCCCAAGATCTTGGCAAAAGTCTCAGGGAGGAACTCAATTGGCCTAGCTTGGATCATGTGCCCATCCCTGAACCAACAGCTGAAGCTGGGGGTTGGAGGTCTCTGATTGGCCAGCCCTGGGTCACATGACCAGCCCCAGAAAGGAAGGTCATGTGACCCACTTCAAACACAGACTGAGCAGTTTATTATACAGTGCAAGGAGGCTAATTCCCCAATGAAAATCTGCCAGGCAGTTAAAATATCAAGCCCAAAAGTGCCTTATGTTTAGGTGGACTATAGTTACAGTGGGTGTCATGGTGCAGTAGCGTAGGCTGTCTCTGGGGATGCCAACATCCTACATCACACACTGACTTCAGTCCTGGCTCCTCCACTCTGATCCAGCTTCCTGCTATTGCACGCAGGGGTGGGGTGGGCAGAAGATGGTGGCTCAAGTGCTTGAGTCCTGCCACCCATGTGGGAGATCCAGATGGAGTTTTGGGCTCCTGGCTGTTGGCAAGCATCCAGGGAGTGAACAAGCAGATGGAAGATCCTTCTCTTTCTCTCTCTTAAATACATGAAAATAAACATTTTTTTTTTTGCAAAATAAAGTTTGTAGTTGTTTAAGATTTTATTTATTTACTTAAAAGAATTACAGAGAGGCAGACAGAGAGAGAGAGAGAAAGGTCTTCCATCTGCTGGTTCACTCTCCAAATGGCGGCAACAGCCGGAGCTGAGCCGATCCGAAGCCAGGAGCCAGGAGTTTCTTCCGGGTTTCCTATGCATATGCAGCGGCCCAAGCACTTGGGCCATCTTCCACTGCTTTCCCAGGCCACAGCAGAGAACTGGATCGGAAGTGGAGCAGCCAGGACTCGAACTGGTGCCCACATGGGATGCCAGCGCTGCAGGCCAGGGCTTTAACCCACTGTGCCACAGCACCTGCTCCAAAAAAGTTTGTTTTTAAGTTTGCTCTATGCTTTGTACTTGGGGTTGGAGCTATTTTCTCTGTTCCTTGATGTCTTTTATCTCTGGTTTTCTTTTTTTTTTTTTTAAGGTTTTATTTATTTGAGAGGTAGAGTTACAGAGAGGGAGAGACAGAGCGAAAGGTCTTCCATCTGCTGGTTCACTCCCCAAATGGCTGCATCAGCCAGAGCTGAGCCAGTTCGAAACCAGCAGCCTGGAGCTTATTTTGGGTCTCCCACGCAGGTGCAGGGGCCATCTTGGGCCATCTTCCACTGCTTTCTCAGGCCATCAGCCAAGAGCTGGATCAGAAGTGGAGCAGCTGGGACACAAATTGGCATCCATATGGCAGAGGCTTAGCCTACTCTGCCACAGCACTGGCCCCTATCCCTGGTTTCCAGTCTTTGCTGCTTTCTTTGAGTTTCTTCAGAATGGCTTTGCTTTGCCATCTTAAGCCAGAAGCTCCCTTTAAAAACTTTTCATGGCAGCACCACTAAAGGCATTTGCAAGTTTACAAATGCGACTTGCATGTGTTAGTGGTTGTTCCACAACCTACGGTGAGGGCTGGAGGGAGGTGAGAGTGAAGGGACATTATCGCTTCCACTTTATAGATTAGAAACCTGAATGCTAAGGAGACTTGTCCAAAGGCACACAGCTCAATCAAGTGGCTGGGACAGAACCAAACCTAAACCCAGAGATGCTGGCTTCCAGCAGAGCTCACAACTCTCCACAACAATGGACTGGTTTTGGGCTTCCACCCCAGGCTTCATTTCCAGACCATGACAGGGTGAGCGACACCTACGTCAAAAGCCTTCAGGGGTTTTGAAGCAGCGCCATAGAGGGGTCGACCAGATGGGCCCACCAGCTGGCTGGAGACAGACCCTGGCCCCTTTGGTTACCAGCGGCTTTAGTCCAATGCATTTGGAAACACAAAGCGAGAGACGGTGGAGCAGTGCCGTGGAGCAGGCCTGCCAAGTCCAAATGAGTCGCCAAACAGACCCATGGAGACGCAGGTAATGGGCACACGGTGCGAGGGGGCGGCTCTGTGAGTGTTTGGCACTGTGTCCTCTGCGGGAGGGTTAGGTGGCCCCCAACAGCTTGCTGCAGTCCCATCACCAGGAGCACAAGGTCAAAATGCTGGTCCCTCCCATCTCTGAACTACCCCTCATGTACACTCAGGGTGTACGCATCAGGGCAGCCTCACAGAAAGAAACCGCTGCTTTCCCTCCCCAGCCGGAGACACACTCAACACAGAGGCGTTGCTCCTGTGCATCACCAGCCCGCGGGAGCCCGTGCTGGGAGCCGTCCTCCCTTGCTCCATCCCCTCTCTGCCATCTGCCCAGGCTCCTTCTTGGCCTCCTCTCACCTCGGTCCCCTTCTCCCTCTTCCCATCCACAGCCCTTCCCACTGACAAATCTCCATCTCCCGCTTTAAGGTCTGAAGATGAACAAATGTTAATTGAGGGTAAGGGCTCTGGCATCAGAACTGGGAATCCACCACTGACTAGCAGAGCTCATTTCTTGGAATTATTCGCTGAAATGTTTACAAGAAACAATTATCAAGTGTCCCAGACTGATTCATAAATGTAATTGATGAGAGGATTGCTAAGAGTTTCCACTTTCTGGTTTGTTTTAATCCTACTGTATAAACTTTAATTTTGGCACCACTTCGACAACATTCCACCCAGTGATTAAAGGAGGTAAGGATTCAGGAAGCACAAGTGCTGTTGGAAGTCGCACTGGCCAGGGTGGACTGTGAAGGCAGCTCAGACACAACCAGTGGACGAGGCAGAGCCGCCTTAAGGAAACAATCAGTGACTGTCACATCCCATGGGCAGGAAGGAGTGCTCCCAGTCCCTAATTGATCTGTCCCCGGCTGTTCAGAGGGTGGGAGGTGGGCTGCGTAATTGAAAGGCCCTGGCTGTGTCTGAATGAAGAGAACATAACGAACCCTGGCTTGTCAGCCTATTCTGCAGCATCTGAAGGTCTGCAAAAAAAATAAATAAATAAACCAATGAAGCCGCTCTGGTCAGGCTTTTCTGGTCAGCTTTCATTACTGTAAGGATGGGTGCAGCAAGATAAATGTTTCCTTCTTCCTTCAGTTCTAAAGAAACACAAGTTTCCCCGCTGCCTTTCATGTAGGGGCACTGAGGGCCCTGGCCTATTCTTATTCACCCACTGGAAAGGATCCGGTCTGGGCAGCAGTGGCCAGTTTGAAGCTCTGTGCTCAAGTCCCCACGTCCCAGTTTGAAGCTGTTCTCTTCCACTTAAGGAGACATTTCATTTTGCCTTTAATTTTAAAAAATGTTCTGAACGCAATGTGACATTACAAGGACCACCAAATTGCCTAATATAAATTCCGCATATGTGACACTTGAGGCTGTGTTAGCAGACGGGGTCAGTTCAGCTAAACAAGCTGCCAAGCAGCCGCTTCAGGGAAAAATTTTATGCACGCTACATGTGTACAAGGCAACGTCAGACCCGGAATCTAAAGCGATAGCAACGAGAACTTGATCTTAAAATGGAATTGAGCCCTGTTAAGCAAATTCAAACCGGGCAATTGTCCATGATGACCCAATGGAAAGTTCTAGAAAAAAAATCTTTAACTGAGTGACCTGTCCAGTCTCAGACTTTCTTCCTACAGCAACACTATTTCCAGTCCTAATTGGAAAAAAGAGCCTAGTTTCCCTACTCCAGCCCCTACCTTTCCCTGGCTCCAATCATTCGAGACTTTGGTGAAACACCAGGGTAAGAAGGTACATGGGCCACACAGTGAATGTCTGACCACGAACCCTTAATATGGTAGGAAAATTGCTTCTCAAGGAAGCCCCATCTGAGAACATGACATGAGCAGTTACTACAGAGATATCTTAGAGAACTGGAATCCGGAAAGACTCCTACTTTAACCACTACTTTACATAATCAGCACTGAATCTGAATTTCTACCAGAGGAGAAAATCAGTGCTCACTCTTGTGGGATTAACAACAGTTGACCAAACCAAACCCAAGATTGCAGGGCGGGCAGGAGTCCCAGGTCACACAAAGACAGAAGCATCGGCTGTCACTCAGGGCTGGCCGACACAGCCCTGCAAGACCTTTTGCTGACAGTTCTACTGGAGCTGCACTTTGGTATTTATGAATAAAGGGCTTCCTGAGGATTAGGTAGGAGATGCTGTGAGATCACCTCCACACAGCCACGGGCAGGAATTTCTCTTACTCATTTGTCCACTTCTGCTTATGTAAAAGGGAGAGGGGAAGGGAAGATAAACCAATCATTTATGTGAGATACAGAACAAATGATACAAGTACCTGGACTAAAAGCTAAGTGAACAGGATACTGACCCTCCGCTTTGGAGATGGGATGGCAAGGATGCTGCCTCTTTGAACATTTCTTGCTCCTGGGTTTCCCTGAAGCCTCCATCGTAAGTCAGCTGCAGTGGGTGACTCCTGGCATGGCTGAGGGTTTTTGGTTTTGTTAGGCAAATGCCATTAATGTTCACCATAGAGTCCCCCATCAAAACTGCTCCTTTGGACTCCACCAGCTTCTTGGCTGTAATGACCAAGAAGAAAGTATTTTATCAAAGCATTGTCATTTTAGGAATCACTACCTTTCAAGGTTTTCTGTTTTGAATTTAAAGGACTTCTGTAACAGTTATATAGTGCCTATAATCAAGTCCGGAATCTTACAATCAAAATCTCTCTGAACATACGAGACCTCATCAACTGTTTCAGGCTTGGCACCATCAATTCTGCATGTAAAAATGAATAGGATGTTACATTAGCTTAGGGTCTACCTGGAATAAAAGATAAAGAACTTGAGCTTCGTTTTATAAACTACCTAGTCCACATAAGTACTTCTGTATCCCATAATAATAACTCTTCCTCCTGAACTTTTCATTCAAAAAATACTTACTGAGTGGGCCCTCTCTGACGTCAGGCTCTGAGTCAGGCTCTTGGGAGCACCAGTGGCAAAACAGGGATCCCCGACTTCCTAGAGCTTCCATGCCATGGAGGGGATGTCTACATCCACAGGGCATGTTGGACAACAGGCAATAGACCACGATAAATAAGGCAGATGATGTAATAGGTCTATGCAGAAAAGCAAAAGGAGAGGTAAGTAGAGCCGAATGGCAGTGGGGACAGGGAGCAACCTAAGATAGGCTGGGCCTGGTAGGACCTGGAGGGCAAACCTTATGGAGGCGGGACACATGCTCAGACAGACACCAGCCGGTGCGAAGGGCTTAAGGCAGGAGAGGGCTTGGGGTGCTTGCAGATTAGCAAGAGTGAAGTGTGTGCAGGGAAGAAGAGAAGACAAAGGGAAGAAGAGACAGAGGAGTAGTGGGCAGGTGGTGGAGGCCCAGTAGGCCACTCCCAGGTGATGGAAAGCGGAAGGCACTACAACATCTATAAGGCTTTCTAAAGATGAAGAAGATAGAAATAAGAGAAAACATCCTGCCTGCAACTAAAACATGCATTGCACTTCTAAATGCAGATTCTTAGGGTAAAAACAACACTCACTCCAGTGGCAAACTGATGCTAGAAGTCGCTTATCGGCTATTCTGCTACTGGGTTCCAGTCTGTGATAAAAGATCTTATCAAAGTCCATGGCTACAAGAGAGTAGATCCCCTGTGGTGCAGTGAGGGGTCAGGGAGAAAGGAATTTCATATAGAAAAGTACTGCTTTGTAAGCTTTTCCAGAATGACTCAAGGTTTCCTTTTCTGAGCTTATTTAGAAACCAACAAACCAAATCCAAAACCACTTGTTCTACCCCTCTGACCAAGCTCCCCTTTTCCAAAACACTGAATTTTATAGCTGAAAGGAACCTGTAGACTGGCTGGTCTCATCCTCATTGCTTAGGCGAGGAAAGGTCATGGTAAGAGCAGAGGCCTCTGATCCCGCAGACTTGGGTTCAAGTGCAGACTCCCGGGGCCCCAGCTCCGAGGGCTGGGAACAGACAGCTCAACTTTTTTCTCACCTTCTTTAGTGGTCCCCACTTGTTGGGGATGTGGTGAGAATGAAGAGATGTGGTCTCGCAGTGACTCACATGGTGCTAGCCCTTCCAAAACCTAGAAGTCGTTGTCATTATTGTTACAGAAACCCAAAGGCCTCGCTTCTGGTCCAGGTCTCTCTCCCTTTGCTGACTTCACTCTTGAGCTACTAAGCACACATTCTGTTTCAGACTGCCAAGGGAGGGTGCTTAGCCTGCTGTTGTGTTGCAGCATTTGTTTCTTTCATTCATTCACTCTGTAAGTACTGAGTAGGCACCCTCTACGCACCAGGTGCTGTTCCACATGTAGCTGACCTTGAACCAGAAGTTCCAGCCATCACAAAGCTGGTAGAAACACAACTGCACCCTCCTATCTTCACGAACTACTGGACAGGGCTGGTTGGTTTCAACCACAAGGAAGAGCTGTCCTGGTGCTCTCTCTTACTCCCTGTAGATGGCCATCCCCGGGTAGTGAAGCTTTGGGTCTCCCTGGCAGACACTGGCAGCACATGGCACCTGTCGTGTAGTGGAGTGTGGGTAAACCTCCACAGGACAGAGCTAGCAGCAGCATTTACCCTACAGGAACAGCTCCATTTTGTAGACATTCCTTTGGCACCTGCTGTATACCATACCCTGTTTTAGGCTCTCAGATTACAGATACAGAAAATGACAGATCCACTGCAGTTCTTGGTCTAGTTGGGGAGACACAGAGGCAGAGGTGAAGACTTCAATGAAGTACTGTGTGGCCCCAGCCAGGTATGGAGGTGGCACAGATGGTAGAGAAGTCTGCGGGGTTAGGAGATGGGTGGGGATAGACTCACAGAGGAGGTGGCGCCTGAGCAGCATTTGGCAGGGTTCCCAGGAGGCAAATGGTTCAAATAAAAAGGAATATAAGTGTGGAATTGAGGCCAGCCTCGCACATGTGCCTCCTTTTAAAAGGGCCCCACACATGGTTTAATGCTGCACACTTGCCATGTTGAGATTCGCAATGGTTTCTGCACAAGGAGCCCCACATCTTCATCTTGTACCGGGCCCGGCCAGTTACACAGCTGAGGCGTGAGACGGCAGGATGTGTGTGGGGAAGAGCAGGAGTTCTGGTCCCTTCTCTGAGCATCAGGAGGAGGGCCTGAGACGTTCGGCTGGGGCCACATCTCAACAGAGCTGTGCACGAGGAGGAGCTGGGCCTTCATCCCCGAGGCCAGGGGTCAGCACAGCACACCGCACCCCGGCCGAAACTGGCCCGCCTCCTGCTATTGTATAGCCTGTGAAATGCGAACGGTTTTTATCTTTTCATTTTTATTTATTTATTTAATTTACATGAAAGGCAGCGAGAGAGAGAGTGAGTGAGTGAGAGGGAGCTCCTGCATCTGCTGGCTCACCCCCTAAATGCCCACAACAGCCAGGGCCTGGCCAGTCTGGAGTCAGGAGCCAGGAAGTCCACTCTCATCTCCCATGGGGGTGGCAGGGACCCAAGCACCTGAGCCATTACCTGCTGCCTCCTAGGATGTGCATTAGCAGGAAGCTAGTTTGGAAGCGGAAGCAGGACTCGAACCCAGGCACGCCAAGATGGGATGTGGGCATCCTAAGTGGAGTCCCAATTGCTATGCCAAATATCACCCTGGCTCTTACAATTTTAAACAGTTGGGAAGAATTTTTTTAAAAAGAAAGAACAGTATTTTGTGACGAGTGAAGACTATATGACATGCCAGTTCCAGTGGCTCTCAGTTGATGGCGGCTTTCACACTGCAATGGCCGAGCTGAACAGGTTGAACGGGGACTCCATGGACCACAAGGTCTGAAGTATTGACTAGCTGGCTCTTTACAGAGAAACGTATGCTGGCCTCTGTAGCAGGCCAGTGTTCCTCAAACTCTGCTCCCTCTGAACTGAAGCCACAGTCAGGCCAGTTTGTGACACATGAGAGTTAAACAGGCTTTGTTCCTGGAGGGCTGCCCCAACCCTTTAACTGTGCACAGCGTGCTGAGGAGGAGGGAGCGCTTCCCTACGTTCATGGGGGCACTGACCCCCTTTTCCAAGGAAAAGCAATGAACATCTTGCCAAGAGTGCTCCCTGGAACCCCCCGGAGCTCAGTTTGACAACTACTCCACATGGCACAGGCTGAGTGGGGGCGCTTCAGGGTTTCAACAAGGAGGTCAGGTGCTCTGATTCATGTGCTTCCTGACTGCTTGTGCTTTATCAAACACCCAGAAAATGCTCGCTTTCCACAGTCCCCTGGGAAAAAGGGGCCTCGGCCTGGGAGCTTAGCTTCCCCAGGCTCTGCTGGGCTGCAGCCCATTTGCGGCACCCCAGAGTGCCAAGGGCAGGCTTGGGAGGAGCAAGACAAGGAGGAAGCAAGAGGAAAGGCAGCAGTGGGAAAGGGGACAGCAGACTCGGGATAGGCTCAGGAAGCCTGCGGAGGGCTTTGGGGTTGGAGAGCGTGATGGCGACTGAAGGTCCCTGTCTGGCTGCAGTTAAGGGGGAGAGGCCTCCAGCAGCAGCAGCAGTACCCCTTCAGCCCCAGACCCCATCTGAACACAAAGCAACAACAGGGACATGAGCCCCGTGGACATGACCCCTGGGACTCCTCCCCTTTCAATTTCTTAAAACCAGAGATTCCAAACCTGCCGCCATACCCCTAACCCCAGCTACAAATGACATAACACCCACCCACCGAGGGAAGGGACACACCCTCTGTCTCCAGCACCAGGGGGCCTTGGCGGTGGCAGTTACCCGACAGAAGCTGCCCTTTGGGAACAGCAGAGAGACTCTACTGCTGTGGAATCCAGGGCGCTTGTTCGCAAGGGAATTCCAAGGTGGGAGAGTACAGGTGTTTCTTTAACTTGGGCAAGGTGTGCTTTGAAGTGACGGTGGCGCTTACTGTCATTGTGTCTGGAGGAGGAATGTGCAGACACCGAGTGGAGAGAAGATGTGCTAGGGTGTGACAGGAGCACAGAGCTGACCACGAGGGCGGAGGGCAGGTGTCCACCTTCGTGGTTGCCGTCATATCCCTGTGAGCCCCAGCGAGATCGATCGTTCTACGCACAAGGAGCACCAGCTAACTGCATCCAACATGTGCCCAGCCTTCAAGCTCAGAAGCAAGAATGTGGCATAAACCCTGGGCAGCAGCCCTGACGCCAGCTTGGCAAAGGCACCCTGGCTCCGGGGCCCGTCCCCTCCCGTGGTGGCAAGCCTGTACTCCTGTGATTACTGGCTCGTTCTGATCTCACTGGTCTGATACGGAACCCTGTAGGTGGAACTTCTGGAAAGTTCCTCAGGGACTCCTATGTGCAGTTGCAGTGGAGGACGGCCAGGAAAGAAAACACAGAGACCGTGTGGTGTCCCCCTGACTTAAACCCGGCCCTGGCCTTTCGCTGCAAGCAGAGTAAAGCCCCATCCACTCCCAGCGTTCTGGGGCCCTGCACAACCCCCGGTGCAGCACCTGTCAGTGTCCTCCCAGCAGGCAGGCTGAGTGTGCCCTGTGTGCAGCCCTGACACTTGCTCTCCCTGCAGTGTGGACACTAGGTCCACAGACTCAGACACTGCCACCTCCTCACTGCTCACATTTCAGCCCAGAGATCACCTCCTCAAAGACACCTTCCCGACCCACCTGTGCTAAACAAATGACCCCTGCCACGGTCACTCTCTCCCTTCGTCTTCAGAACCTGAATGGTCTTGGGCATCTGTCCTGTTGTCTCTCTCCCTGCCCTGCGTTGCAAGCTCACAGAGGAGAGGGCTCTGTGGGGCTGGGATGGTGTCTAGCACTTAGTAGGGGCTCAGTAAATACCAGACTGACTGACTGTGTTAGGAAAGAAACAAGCCGGGAGGTGGGGTAAGGCGAGTCGCCTGATGATACGCTTGGCTGCAAGGTCATGGAGGGAGGCACATGCCCTGCACTTGCTCCTTGCCTTCTCCCTCTCCTTTATCAAGCACTGGACAGGCGAATGGTAAAGTGGGCTGGGGAGACAAGGTGAGCTGCAAGTCAGATCCCAGGCTATGGAGGGGTGGGGGCGGGGTTTGGGGGGACCACCCAGAGCCAATCACTCCCACTGAGGCTACACGGAATGGGGACCCAGTGTTGCCAGATCTCCTGATTTCCCATAAGAAGTCATAAATATGGATTTCTCCTCAGATTCTTCTCTTTTGCAACTGTTGGTGATTAATGAAAAGAAAATGCTAGGCCTGTCAAACAAGTGTGACATCCAGGAATCTGTCTTCTGACTCTGCCTTCCCATGCCTTCCCTCGGTCACCTACCCTCGTCAGGTGAGGGGCAGCCCATTCCGTCAGCTCCTCGGGAGGGAGCTCCCCAACTTTTGTGACCACACACACTAACAAATCAAGTTATAACAAGACCCTGAACACCCACTGAAGACTGATGTAACTCAGCAGTACTTGACAATATTTTACAATATATTCTCCTACCTTCCACTATTTCTATTCTACCTCTTTTTTTTTTTTTTTTGGACAGGCAGAGTGGACAGTGAGAGAGAGAGAAAGAGAGAAAGGTCTTTTTTTTTCCATTGGTTCACCACCCCCCCAATGGCTGCTGCGGCCTGCGCACCACGCTGATCCAAAGCCAGGAGCCAGGTGCTTCCTCCTGGTCTCCATACGGGTGCAGGGCCCAAGCACCTGGGCCATCCTCCACTGCCTTCCTGGGCCATAGCAGAGAGCTGGCCTGGAAGAGGAGCAACCAGGACAGAATCTGGCGCCCTGACTGGGACTAGAACCTGTGGTGCCAGCGCTGCAGGCGGAGGATTAGCATATTGAGCTGCGGCGCCGGCCCCTCATTTTTTTTTTAAAAAAACTGCTGATGTGGTTCACTAAGCTGTCATCTCTCTATCAGGTCTTCTGGGCAGTCTGAAAAACCCTTTGGATGCCTTGGATGAAGGTATTCCAACTTCCAATGACACCCTTGGGGATGTTCCCAGGTTAGACACCTGCCAGCATCTCTGGCAAAGTCCCATCCAGCTTTGCTTACATATTCACATGAGATCAGAAAAGTAATTTCAAAGACCTAAGCTTAGTGAGCATTATAAGACTCTCATTCTCATTCACTTATAATGGAATTAACTTTTTCAACTCCAATTTAAAAATAATTTATTTCTGATCCATGAGAACCATCCATTAGGAGACTGTCCTCGTATTGCTTTTCCTAGCATTCTTTTCCTGCCAGGTGATGCTTTTAAGAAACCAGGATGTTTAGGTGTTCTTTATAAACACCCAGAGAAATGCATGAACAATGATCCTTAACCACCTTTTGCTCAATATTCACTAAGTCTCACTTCACGTCAAAATCATCCAGAGTTAGGGAAAAAATCGTATGAAAGTGGTTTTTGTGCACCAGTTCCAGGTGCCCCCCACCCCCACCCTGCCAGGGTTCAAAGGACATTAGGTGGCCTTACCCTCAGCGGGAGGAAGCGATCTGTCCGGCAGCAGAGGCCCTTGAGACGCCGCCCGGAACAGGCGCGCCCGGGCGCTGCTTATCCGTCTCATCTTCGCGGGGTCCACCGGGGGTCTGGGAAAGGACAGGCAGGGATCCTGCTCCGTGTTGGGAGATGCTGGAGCTTTCGGCTTCTGGGAAGAGAGTTTAAGAAAGGATTGGCAAGAATGTCTGTGTTTCACGTAAGACTCACTCTAGGGGGCCAGAACTGTGGCATAGCAGGTAAAACTGCCGCCTGCAGTGCCAGCATCCCAAATGGGCCCCAGTTCGAGTCCTGACTGTTCCACTTCCCATCCAGCTCTCTGCTACGGCCTGGGAAAACAGCAGAAGATGGTGCCATATGGGCGCCGGGTTCTAGTCCCAGCTGCTCCTCCTCCAGTCCAGCTCTCTGCTGTGGCCCAGAAAGGCAGTGGAGGATGGCCCAAGTGCTTGGGCCCTGCACCCACATGGGAGACCAGGAGGAGGCACCTGGTTCCCGGCTTCAGTATAGCACAGCACGCCAGTCATAGCGGCCATTTGGGTGGTGAGCCAACAGAAGGAAGACCTTTCTCTCTGTCTCTCTGTCTAAATCTATCAATCAAATAAATAAATAAAAAAAAAACCAGGCAAACAAATATTATGAGAAAGAGATGGTAAAATTAAGTACAGTACTGTCAACATACGTTACAAACATCTGTGTTCAATTCAGCTCGGAAAACATTTTCCCTGCATGTACTAAGAACTATGTGGAATCTAAGTAGTGTTACCTTCACGTCCTCAGGATTCCATGAGAAGTATTTTTTTAGTATTTTTTTAGATGTCAACATTTTAAAATAACCAGATTAAGAAGTCACGAAACAAGAATATAAAAATGTTTTATTTCTTATATTTCAAAAATTCTATGTTGGCACCTTTTAGAAAAGGAACATTACTGGCAAAATTTGGTTCCTTAAAGATTTTAAAACCTAGCAGCTCCCCTCTGGTCTAAGCTCCAGATGGCAGTGGCCTTGACCCTGTGCCAGCACCTCCCAGGGGACTAAGCTCTCCACCTGATGGTCATACCCTTCCTGCCTCCACTTCAGCACAATTGCAGGCCTGTGAAGGGGCAGCCTCATGGCAGTGAATGCGCTTAGTTCTCCAACCACAACCACAATCACAAGGAAGTCAAGTCATTTCTATAACACATGAAATGAATGACTCACTGTCCAGTAAGTTAATCAACAATTTAAAAAATCCAATGTGAAATTTAAGTGAGATAATTTGGAGCAATGGGTGAGGTCAAATAGCATATACAACAGATTAGCCCAAATGTCTGTTCTCACATATACTCACAGAACACAGACACATCTACATCACAGTTCTCCTGCCGAGAAGTTGCTTATTTCAATAGCCATGATTTTCCTCCAAACGTTTTTTGTTTCCTCCTGTTCATTTGCATCCAGGATGGATTTGTCCAAAGAAGTTAGTTTTTTAGACTTTAGTCTTTATGACTTCAGAGTTACATTTTTCTAAATACACTTTTAAAAAGGGGAGGGAGGGGCGAATAAAATAATACAGAAGAAAACGTGAATCACTTTGGGAGCAGACAGATCTGGACTGTAATCCACTGACACGCCTGTGAACTTGGGCAGACCATTACTTCTCTGCACTTGCCCAGTGACGGCATGGAGACAGCAGTCCCATTCCTACAGGGAGGCTGACATAAACACGGTCTGGCTGTGAGGGCTCAGAAGGTGCTGGCTCCGTTTCCTACGAAAGCTGCTCCAGCTAATCTACCAAAGGCCAAGGGTTTAGCCTCTGATGCAAACTTGCTGGCACAGAGACAATGGGTTCTGATGCAGAGAGCACACTCATTTGTCTTATAAATTGCGCTATACCCATTGATTAAGTGGTCATTCTACTTTTTAGTCTCTCTAGTTGGTTGCAAAGTTATGACTTATGCTAATAGGAACAGAGAAGCTCAGAGTATAATCTAGGAAAGTAAGTGCTTTAAGTATAATTCTGAAAGAGATGAACTACCTGAGGACAATGCTGATATCGAAGGTAGATGGGAGATTTTCTTAGCTCAGAATGTCTGTTCTCTGCAGGTGCCCTGAAACTGATGCAGAGATGGAGAAGTGTGCCCAACAATAGCAGAGACACAGCTAACGCCCCTTCCACAGATGCCGGAGCTCTCACAATGTCTCCAGGACTGACAAAAAAAACTGTGTGAAACAGGGAAAGAGGGTGTGCAAAGCTGATTCCCCCCCACCAAACAGATAAGTATTTTTACTCTCTCTGGAGGGCAAGACGCAGCCTCATAACTGTTCCTTGAGAAAATGAATTATTGCATGGCCAGTGTTGTGGCAGAGCAGGTTAAGTTGCCACCTACAATGCTGGCATCCCATATGAGTGCTGGACTGAGTCCCGGCTGCTCCACCTCCAATCCAGCTCCCTGCTAATGTGCCTGGGAAGGAAGCTGAAGATGGCCCAAGTCCTTGGGTAAATTAAAAAAATTTAATTCTTCAAAAGAAAATCTCTGGGGCTAGAGTTGTGGTGCAGTGAATTAGGCTACTATGTGTGACATTGGCATCCCACATGGACACCAATTCAAGTCCTTACTGCTCCAGTTCTGATCCAGCTCCCTGCTAATGGTCTGGGAAAGCACAGGAAGATGGCCCAAGTGCTTGGGTCCCTGCCACCCTTGTGGGAGACCCGGATGGAGTTCTGGGCTCCTGGCTTCAGCCTGGCCCAGCTCTGCCTGTTATAGCCATTTGGGGAATGAACCAGAGGACGGAAGATCTCTTTCTTTCTCTGTCTCTCCCTCTCTCTCTGTTATTATGCCTTTCAAATAAAATAAAAATAAATTCTTTTAAAAGCAATGAAATATGGCCGATGCCATGGCTCACTTGGCTAATCCTCCACCTGCGGCGCCAGCACCCTAGGTTCTAGTCCCGGTTGGGGCTCCAGATTCTGGCCTGGTTGTTCTTCTTCCAGTCCAGCTCTCTGCTGTGGCCCAGGAGGGCAATGGAGGATGGCCCAAGTGCTTGGGCCCTGCACCCACATGGGAGACCAGGAGGAAGCACCTGGTTCCTGGTTTCAGATCGGCGCAGCGCGCCAGCCGTAGCAGCCATCTGGGGGGTGAACCAACAGAAGGAAGACCTTTCTCTGTCTCTCTCTCTAACTCTGCCTGTCAAAAAAAAAAAAGCAATGAAAGAAAATTATTGGAGTGGGTGACATGGTACAGCAGGCTAAGCCACCACTTGGGATGCCCGAATCCTGTATCAGAGTGCCAGCTCAAATCCCACCTCTGTTTCTGATTCAGCTCCCTGCTAATACAGGTGGGAGACAGCAGATGATAGCTTGAGTACTTGGGTTTTTGCCACCCGGATGGAAGACCTAGATGGAGTTCCTGGCTCTAAGCTCCAGCCTGGCCCAGCCCCGGCTGTTGTTGGGTCCTTGGGAAATGAACCAGTGAATGAAGATCTCTCTCTGTCTCCTTCCCTTCCTCCCTCCATCGCCCTACTCTTCAAATAAATAAAAATAAGCTTTTAGAAAAACACCAGACAAGTTAGCGATTTCCCTCAAGCTAAGTTCTATAAAACGTTCTGCTACTTTGTTGAGCAAAATGGCTCTTATGAAGACAACCAGTAAAATTTTCTTTCCTGGGCT